CCAAATTGATACCTTGTGACTTAAGTTTGATAATCAGTAATTTAGATGACATCAGATGTGAATAAGTCAAAGCAAAGATTGAGCTAAAAATTTTTAGTTCACATTTTTCTCATTAATATGTACATTAAGTGATTGTATATAGCTCAGTTTTTATTTTACCTATTATCCTACCAGTATGGAAAGTACCATAAAGGAAAGTATGCTGTTGTGGTTTTTTTGGTTTGTCTTTGCTTTAATGTAGAAAGTATAGTTTGCGGGGCCTCCCTGGTGGTGCAAGGAGTTGGGACACAACCTATGAAGCTATCCACAGCCTCTGCAGCATGAGTTCGATCCCCAGCCAGAGAGGTGACCCACATGGCGCAACAGACCTCTCCTGTCTCGCCCGCTGCTCCCCTCAGCAGTGTATTTCAGTCAATCTGCCTGTTCTGTTCCCCACTCTGTCTCTGGTGAATCCTCTCACCCTTCCCCTCCCACCTCTGGCTTGTAATCCAGTTCTTGTATGCATAAATAAATAAATCTTTAAAAAAATATATAGTTTGCACTGTGTTATTGTATGAAGTGATTTTTATATTTCTATATGCTTAGGCTATTTTTGTTTTAGAAGGTGTATTTTAGTCTAAAATGCTAAGCTAAAAAATCCTTACCTCATAAAGTTTGTTCCAAATTAAGCATCAGAAATTCTGTTTTCTAAGGTTACTGGGTTTTCAGATTGTGGTTATTTACAGGGGATTCTAGAGATATACTTAAAACTAAAGGTTAACACAGCCCAACTTTTAAGACGAGAACTGAATGATGCTGCTACTTTGACCTTTGATTCCAGTTATGAATTGTGGGATCAATATTCTTGATGGCAGAAGACATGTTTATTTACCCCATCCAACAGATACTTATTACTATGTGCTAGACACTACTATAGTTATTAGTTATATAACAGGGAATACAACAGTCAGGTTCTTACTCCCATGAAACTTATATTCTTGAGGAAGAACTTAGCAATAATTAAAAGAAATTTTATTATTTTAAATGTATGTAAAAATATGTACAGAAGATATGTTCTAATGCATAAATACATTCTATGTCAAAGATAATGGTTACTTAGAAAAATCAAGCTCTAAGGGTGTATAAGGAGTCCAGGGAAGGAGGGTTGCAGGTATAATTAATAAATAGGATTGTCTTGGAGGGTGTCACAGAGAGAGACATTCATGAAGGAGTCAAAGGAACAAGCTGTGCCCATCTTGAGGAAATGTGCTCTAGCTACAAGGGACAGGGAGAAGACCATTGCTGGAACGCAGAGGAGTAATAGATGAAATTAGAGGGAGAGGGCAAGGGAGCAAACCTTGTCCATTCTTTTTGACTGTCTAAGAGACTTTAACTAGTATTCTGGTATGTGGTTGTTTTTCCACTTTCTTGATAATACCCTTTGTTGCAGAGTTTGTAATTTTGTGTTACATATCTGAGAATCTATTGCCTAATGCATGGCAATAAAAATTGCCTTTTTTCCCTAAACTTTGTATGGCTTTAGCTCTTTTTTTTAAAGATTTATTTATTTATGCATATAAGGACTGGGGTACAGGCCAGAGGTGTGGAATGGGAAGGGGGTGGTAAGAGGATTCGCCAGAGACAGTGGGGAGCAGAACAGGCAGATTGACTGAAATACACTGCTGAGGGGAGCAGCGGGGAAGTCAGGAGAGGTCTGATGCGCCATGTGGGTATCTCCCTGGCTGGGGAATCAAACTCATGCTGCAGTAGCTTTGGATTGCTTCATAGTGCTGATGCTTAACCCCTTTCGCCACCAGGAAGGCCCATGGCTTTAGCTTTTATATATGATCAGTTTGACTTAATATTTGTGCATGATGTCAGGGATGAACCCAGTTTCTTTCTTTTCTCTTTCTCTCTCTCTCTTTCCTCCTCTGCTCTTTCCTTTCCCTCCCCTTCCCTCTCTATTTCTTAAGATAAAGAGTTCTGACTGATTGATTTCTTCTTTCTGAGATAGGCCTCTACTGCTATAAATTCCCTCAGAGGGTTGCTTTTACAGCTTTCCCTAATTTTCGATGTGTTGTGTTTTGTGTTTTTCTGTAAGTATTTTATAATTTCACTTGTGAATTCTTTGGTCCACTGATTATTTTAACAGTAGCTTAATTTTTTACGTACAGTGAGTTCTCATTACTCGTGGATTCCTTATTTGTAAACTCACCTACTCACTAAAATTTATTTGTAACCCAAGAGTCAGTACATTCATGGATATATGGAGAATGGCAAAAGTTTTGAGTCACCTTGGTGTGCATATGCTCAGCTGAAGTTGAACAAGGAAGCACTCTGTCTTCTTGTTTCAGCTAATATACTATAAACAAGAGTTATTTTCAGTCTATTTAGTGACAGTTTTTCATATTTTTTTAACCTTTTTGTGGTTTTGCTATTTAAAAAGCAGTAATGAAGAGCTATCTAATGTTCGTAATCACAAGTAACTGATATGCTATACAAAGAAAATACTTTTGTTAGATAACAGTCCTTGCTTCAGAGTTGTAGTTTTATTGTCCACTAGTTCAATGTTAGTGAATCAACAATACAGTACATTCAGTAAAAGGAAAAGGAAATTTACTGACCTTATGTAAGGCCACTCTGGAAAGTGCTAAAGTAATGTGTGTGTGTGTATGCACACACATACACACACAAACTATATATGTTTCCATAAAACTATGGAAAATAGGGAAAATGGCTAAATTTGTGGATTCATGAAATGATAACCATAAAAGAAAAAAGAAAAAAGCATAGAGGACAGCACTGTTTTAAAACTAAAAGCCAAGGAACCTTAAAACCATATCCAGATTAAAGAAAACATTAAACTCTTCTCTTGTAGTGTTGACTGACTTACACATTTCAAAAGATGAAAGCATGAAAAATGTTCAAGTTGCAATGAATTTGAGGCAAGATCAAGCGACTGCAGGAGAATTTTTAAGATATCTGCTAGGTGTTATGGTGGAAAAGAGCTGTGTGGAAAAGTAGTTTTTCAGTGCTGAGAACTATCTCTTTCTTCATTTCTGTTAGTTTGCATCACTTATTTGGGGTTCTGTTGTTTGATGTAAATGTTTATAATGGCTCTATTTTAATGAATTGATTCTTACGTCAGTATATACGTTCCTTCTGTCTTTGGAATACAATTTTTCACTTTAAGTCTATTTTGTCTGAGGTGTGTACATATAAAAATTATGTAGTCAGAATTGGATCAAGTGTTCCACAAAATGTATTTCCACAAAAATATCTAGGGAAAAATATTCTGAAGCTGTAAACTAAATACTCAAAAAAAAAAAAAAATCAACCAATCAATAAAAATAGAAGTGATTATTCTTTTCCCAAGTAGTCACTTTTTTCCGGTGAGGTCTAAAGATCCTTTGGAGTGGAACAAAAGGAACATAAAAAAAATTGAAGGTTCTCTCTTAGCCTGTGCATCCAGCTTGATAACATTCCTAACTCTCCTATTACTTGGAGATAGGAAATTTGAATAAATGTGGATTGAATTAAGGTAAGTGTTCAGTTTCAATGTCCTGCTCAAAACTTTCATTTTCCTCTTCCTTTAGCCCTAACTTCAGAGAAAAGCGTAGGAAAATTTCTTGTTTGTTGTTATTGTTTGTTCAATTCTCCTTTGCTTATTAACAGTTATTTTAAAAATTAACAGAAAAGTTAAAATAACATGAGAACCTGCTACAGAGACAGAATCCACTGTTAATCTCTCACCTGTTTTATACCAGTAGCCTCCTAACTGGTTTCCCTTTTTCTACCCTTGCTCCCTTAGTCTCTGATCTTTACATGGCAGCCATCTAATGATCTGCGCTGAGTGTGGCAGTTTTATTCAAAACCCCGCAATGCCTCTCCATTTGATTGAAGATAAAAGTAGTTTTTTTACAGTGGCCTTGTAGTCTCTGCTTGCTCTGGCCCCACCTCTGCTTGCTCTGGACTGACCTTTTCTACTTGCTCTCTGTCTACTCTGATCATATTAGCCTCCCTGCAGCCACATTTCCTCATTAGAGACTTTGCTTTGTTTGCACCCCCTTTCTGACATATGGTCTTCCTCAGGTATATGCTCGACTAATTTTCTTGCTTCCATTCAGTCTTGCCTTAAATCTCAGCTTTTCAATAAAGCCTACACTATCTGCTATTTAATATTTTAATGTACCCCCATAATCACAGTCCCACACTCTTGATCCTATTTCTGTTTACTGTTGTAATGTAGTAGTGACTCAACCCAACTTCTTATTGAGCCATCTTGAATTCTTATTGAACTATCTTGGCTTTAATTTCGTTCAGAAATTTGAAGTCCTCAGGCATTGATGACCTCAAATGTGACCCTTACTTCCTTTACAAACTCACCACCCTGCCCTTCCATCATTTCCTCCTGCCCTCAAATATTGGGAACTTTTTTCAAGGCTACCTCTTGGTATCAAGAATTGTTGGCATTTTATGTTTTTACCCTTTTAGTTCCCAATATCTCAACCAAAAATTTTCTCAATAAGGTTGTCACTTGAAATTTCAGGCACAGAAGTAGAAAACAAATTATAATGTGTTAAATATTGCATGCAAAGATAATGCCCAGTCCTCCTCCCAAGGGAAGCAAAGACTCTTACGTGGACCAGATTCAGGCACTGTTGTAAAAGTGTTTTCATTAAAAATAGGTCTCTTACCTGTTTTTCTTCTTCCGTAGTGATTGAATCTTTATTATAGAAGCAAAAATGTCATTTTCTACAGAGCAGAGGGTAGAAGCAGCAGATTCCATTCTTTTGTTCATTCATGCAAAAATATTACTTGAATGTCTGCTATATGTGCCCTGCTTAGGGTTAGGTGCTGGGAATACAACAGGAAGTGAAAACAAAAAAACCAAAAAAAACACCGCCACATTGTTTCTGTTTTCCTAGAAGTTCATAGTATAGTGATTTGGTTTTTATTTGCTTGTTTATATTTAACCTAATTTATTTACTAATTTTACTTTTTTTTTTTCCCCCCTTTAGTATCCCCTTATATATGGACTGATTCTTATTCCCTGCTGGTGTTCTCTAGTTTGCCTAAGTAGAATTTACATGGGAATGCACTCCATTCTGGTAAGGAAAATGTTGTGTTCATAGTGCTTTATTTTTTTCTGAAATTGATGGCAGTTTTATTATATTTAATCATTTACAGATTTATATAAAATGTAAATGAGAAAATATAGTTATTATAAATCTTTTAATTTACAAAATACCAATATCATGCTTTGTGAAGTTTTAATGTAGTAATTATGCATTTCATGGAAATTGTTCCCAGCTATCCCAATAAGTAAGTGTTCAGGTAAACATTTCTCCCTCCTTTTAGTTTCAGCTTTATTTTCCTTCTTATTTTCTTCTAGGCCTCTCCTGTGGTATCAGAATCAACAGTGTGAATACAGAAACCAAGGAGAACTCTACTTATTAGGGAAGACCTAATGACTAGAAACTAGATGAACTTAAACTATACTGGCATCACATATTTAAATAATAAAATCTTAGATTTCTTTTTCCCAACAGTATGTTAGAACTCATATCAGATATTTTGAGAAATTCAGTTTCAAAAACAATAGCAGCACAGGGTCTCTCTGCATTCTTTAGCCAGACCCAATCACTTCCTTTCTTCTCTATCACAGTTGATAATCTGTTAATTCTGGCCTATGTCATTTCTTAACCCAAAGATTGCAACAGCTCTTAGTAGCCCTTCCAGTTTGACGTCACTCCATCCAGCATTCAGTAGCCTGCTGTAGTCTACTTAATGTTTCACCCAGGGCAAAGGGTGTTTCTTGCTTTTAGAAAATCTATAATCTCTGCTTAGAATGACCTTTTCCCTTTCTTTACCTGGTTAACTATACTACTCATTCCTCAATTGTCAAAAAATGCTCTTACCTCCTAAAAGGACACTCTGTGAACATCTCATGTATTATAGATAAAGGATCAGAAAAATGGTGGAGAAATATGAACTACTTCAGGAATCTAAAAATCTCTACTAGGTTATATTGAATTTTTGTCTTTAACAACTTAAAGCTTTTAGAATTTTGTACTCATAAAAAATCTCACTAGCTGAACTCATAGCTGTACAGATAGTGAGTTTCTATTTCTTATTTAGCTAGCTTGCCTCCAGTAGCTGCTCCTTCACTTGTAAATTTCCAGAAGTCCCAAATGGTATTTTAATAAGCAAACTCTTTACACTTTACTTTTTATAATTATATTAATACAATTTGTGAATTTACCTACAATCTGTCTTTCTAACTAATATCTACTAATTTTATGAGAGTAAATATCACACAAGCCTAATATTTGTCACAGAAAATGTGATCCATCTTGTGCCTTTTAGAGTTTTTCCCTTCAACTCCCAGAAAAAGGGAATATTTTAGTAGATTGGTTAAATACTCAAACTGAATGCACTTCATTTTTTATATACTGAATATCATCTGTTCTTGAATCAGCTGAAGTAAAAACAATATTGATAGATTTTTCAAGTCATGAGTCTGACAACTATAGTTTTTTTTTTTTTTAGCTATAGTTCTTTATTAAAAAACCACCTTGTCCTATGGAATGTTTTATCATCTTTAATTAGCTACTGAATTATATTCCAAGTTTTTGATTTTCTTTAAAAGTAAAGTCATGGATGACTTGCAAGCATTGTAAATTATGATTCTGTGTTATAAGCACAACTATTCCTAATTAATAATATATTGCTAATCAATTATATATTACTTATATACATTATTTACATATTGCTAATAATTATATAACATATTGATATTTAATAATGTATCACTTATTTAATACTTTTTTTTATAAAATAACATAATGAACTCCCTTTTTTGCATTTAGATCTAGTTTATTCCTACAATTTACTTTTTTTCCTATAGTGCTTCAGTAATTGCCTGTGTTTTGAACTATTTTCCTAAATACAATTTGTATATTCATTGCTTATTGTGAACTTAGTATGGAATTATAGGTAGAGTATGCTATATAATGTGTTAAAAGTTGTTTAGTTACCACATTAGCCAAGTGATAACTTCATTAAGAAGTGAGTTCTATCCAACCACTATGGAGAGCTGTGTGGAGATTTCTTGACCTACTAAACATAGAGCTTCCATATGATCCAGCAATTCCACTCCTAGGTATTTACCCAAAGGACACAGAAACATCAATTCCAAAGAGCACCTGCACACCTATGTTTATAGCAGCACTATTTACAATAGCTAAGCTTTGGAAACAGCCCAAATGCCCAAAAATAGATGACTGGATCAAGAAGATGTGGTACATATATACCATGGAATATTACTCAGCATTCAAAAAAGATAAACACATGCAATTTGCAGCAACATGGATGGCACTGGAAGGGATCATGCTCAGTGAAATAAGCCAAAAAGAAAAAGAAAAATACCGGATGGTCTCACTCATAGCAGGAATCTAGAAAACTTAAATAAGGGACCAGGAAAATGAATAACTATAAGAAAGTGAAAATCAAAATCAACAAATAACTATGAACCAGAGACACTTTTTGGGGGTGGGAGGGGAGGGATTGGGGTCAGAATGGGGGGGTTGCAATTGTATGGGGAATATAAAAATAAAATTTATTATAAAAAAAATGGCATATAAGTAAAATTTAAAAAAAAAAGAAGTGAGTTCTAATTAATTTATAATGAATACTTCATTCAATATTTGCCATATGCTTTGTTGTTAATGTTAGAACACAGGAAACAAAAACTTTATTAGTTTATTTTTATTATCCAGGTAATTTCCTAAATTGATTTTCTTAATTATCAGAAAAGTAGAGAAGAGTTTTATTAATTTTCTCTTTACTATCAAACCTAAGTCTCAATATTTAATGTTTTAAAATAAAACACAATCCATTTAATGTTACTACACTTAGTATATGTAAAGTTATTATTTCTTTCTACATTAGTAAAATATGAATATGTTATAATTACATTTACCCAAAATTGTACCAAAAGTTTTTATAGCTATATGTGGAAAGTCTTTTCAAGAAGGTATTATAAGATTATAAAGTAGTATGTACCTCTCAAACCCACTTTATAACAAGAAATAAAAATCAGACCAATTAAAACAAAACCAAAAACATTTAAAGAGCTAGAACAGTAAACACTAAAAATTTTAATGGTGGTTATTCCTAGGTAATAACTATTTGTTATTGTTTATCTTATTTTCCAGTTTTTCTAGAGTGAGCATGTATTCACTTTGAATTTTAATTAAAGTTTTAAAAACCATCCTTAATAGTGCCTATATAGTCAAAGATATAGTACATTACAATGATAAATTTTATTCTTAGAAACGCTGACATATTGAAATTAGAACCAGGACACAGGTTACAAAAATAAATGTTTTATGTTATAATACTATGCTATTAAAAAAATTAAAACACCAGGAAACTATAGGGAGTCCTGAATTCTAGTCTCAGCAAATCATTAACTTCTGGATTTCTATTTCCTGATCAGGGGAAAAGAAAAGAAAACAAATTCCAGATATACAATAAAGTAAATCTTTATTGAATTTATGTATATGACATATTTCTACCATAAATTTGATGGTATCCCAGAATATTCCATTCAAATGTATTGACTTGTAAGGCATAAGCTATAATTAATAAGTATCCAAAATTATTTCCTAAGTTTCTTTTTGAAAAATTTGTTACTTTAACTTCTTTATGTCATCTTTAACATTAATTTTCTTTATTGCATACTTTGTGTAATAATTCCTAAAACCGTATAGTTACATATTTTGATGTTATACATCAAGTTGATATAATAATAGCATCTTGTGTGTGCCTGAATTCCTCCCTTCCATTTCTGTTGCATGTGAGTTTAATATGTCCTTACTATTCAGGGCAATATCATAATAACTGATAATAATATCAGTAAAGAAGGCAAATTTGCATAGTCTTATAGTAATCTAAGTTTAATGTTTATGGAATAATACCCAAAAAGTAGGGGACAGCGAATATTGGGTGTTTGATGTCATACCAAAATATACTTGATTGCTGAGTTATCAATTTAGTTTTCTTAAAGTGATTAAAGTAAGAAAGTTCTAAAAAGCCATTTACTTATTTTTTTCATTTTTAAGGTATAAAAACATTTCACAGAAATAAACATGTACATGTATCTATAATATAAAAAGAAATGCAGTTTTTGAAAGCTATTTTAGTGCTATTAAGCTTTTCCATTCACTTTAGAGTAAATTTATACAGTTACATATGTCATATATATTATTTGTATATATTATATATATATATAACTCATTAGTTATCATTTGTTTAACACATCTGTAACTTGATCCACCTTCTATGTTAGAATTAAAAAGTTCAGAACATTTCCACATTGGCATTTAACTTAAAATTTTGAATCACTGGTAAAAATGGTGAAATTTAAATGGAAAATAAAGTTTCTAGAAACCAAACCCACTGGTTGTTCCTTGAGACCTGGGCTCTTAATTACTGTTAGAGAAGAAAGGATAAGCTAGCAAATGGAATGTAAACTTTGGCAATTTGGGATCTGAATATTTATAGAAGTTTGACTGTAAAATAATTTGATATCTCATATCCAAAAACGTAATCAGAATTTGATTATGTCACCTATGAAATCTTGGAGTAATTACAGTAAAATTCAGTATGTATAGCCAGTCTGTATCAATGAATTTTCATAGAAGACTTGTGTTCCTCCAAATCCTGAAAGTTTAGTTTTTCTTCACTCCCAATATTTAATTACTAATGTTGAAGGTGTTCATTTTTTTCAACAAAGGTATTCAGCACATTCAATCTATGAGATTAAATAATCAGCTATATGACCTTAGTTCAGTTTTCATTGTTTAATACTGGTTAAGGTAACTGTAAATTTTCAAAAAATTTGCACAATTTTGAGAGAAAAAAGAAAATTTTAACATTCTGGGGACAACACTGGAAAATGAGATTGTTCTAGGCAAGCTACCTCAGAGTAATTTTAAGGATTAAATAGGACAATAAATGTAAAGTATTAAAACAGTATTTTCGGTACAGAAAATATAGTTGTTTTGACGTTAGCCTAATTTGAAGAAACTATGTTTCATCTATT